TCAGGCTCAGCCTGGGACCTGGCAGGGGAGTTTCCCATGGGAATGGTTGCCAAAAGATCCAGATCTTGAGCTTACCTGGCGTTTTGTACAGTGTGTATGCGGGGAGCTGTGTGCCGACCTGGAGGTCTGCTGACCCCCACCTGCTCTGCCACCCGGAGTCACGGTCGCTCGCTGAGCTCCAAGCCTGTTCTCACCCGCTGGGCGTGATGCTCCTGGACCATGGCCGCCGGTGCAGCCCGAGAGACGGGGCTGTTGGGGCAGAAGGCAGCCTGCCCATGGGGAAACGTGGAGATGGGCTGGTCGGGAAATGATTTAAATGGAAAGGCCGTGAGCTGGGTGGAGAGAACCAAAGAAGCACTTCAGTAGGGGTAGCGGGGACAAAACCTGAAGAGCTTTTGAGGTGGAGCTTGCTGGGTGTATGGGCAGGACTGTGTGTCATGGGTTGAGGTGGTGCCTTCCTGGTCCATGCTCTCTGCAGGTGGCTGGGCTGGTGGGGGTGACCTGCACCCCCGGGAGATGCTGGGGGGGCTGCCTGGAGCCAGCAGAGACTGCGCTCCCACCTGGAAGGTGCGGTCCCAGCACGGCGTCCACCGGCGGTCAGCGTTCATGTCTCGTCTTCCCCCTTCTCTTCCAGGTCTCAAAACTGGAGGTGGCTCTTCAGGTGGCTCAGGGAACACTTTCCACTACACCTTCCACGGAGACCCCCATGCCACCTTCGCGTCCTTCTTTGGAGGCTCCAACCCTTTCGACATCTTCTTCGCTAGCAGCCGCTCCCGGGTGTTCAATGGCTTTGACCAGGAAGACATGGATATTGATGACGATGATGACCCTTTCAGTGCCTTTGGCCGGTTTGGCTTCAACGGCATTAACGGGGTTCACCGGCGGCACCAAGAGTCCCTGCATACGCGGAGGAAGGTCCAAGACCCACCCGTCATCCATGAGCTCAAGGTGTCCCTGGAAGAGATCTACCACGGCTCCACCAAGAGGATGAAGATCACCCGCAGAAGGCTCAATGCTGATGGCCGGACCATGCGGACTGAGGACAAGATCCTAAACATCGTCATCAAACGGGGTTGGAAGGAGGGAACCAAAATCACATTCCCCAAAGAAGGGGATGCCACCCCAGACAACATCCCTGCTGACATCGTCTTCATCCTCAAGGACAAGCCTCACTCGCACTTCAAGAGGGACGGGACGAACGTGGTCTACACGGCAAACATCAGTCTTAAAGAGGTGGGTATGGGTGGGAAATCCCACGGGGTGGGAGGTGGCGCTGGGTCGTTGGCAGGTGGGGCCAAGACGGGAGTCAGTCCTTGTCCTGCGCTGATGGGGAAGGACCAGGTAGGTCGCGAGAGACACGAGCAAAGACCTCTGCAGAGAGGAGCACAGAGGCGAAATCGTGCTTGGTTTTGGAGATGCTCAACCTCCGTGCCGGGTGTAGGACAC